AGCCAAACGCCGCTTTAGCGCTTGGCTATAAAGAGAGCAGAAATCTAAATGTATGGGGATGACTCTGACAAGTGTTAAAATTTACGTCAATCCCATAGAATTTAGTTTTCTACTCTACAAGTAGACAAGCGCTATTGGCTACAGCTGCTGATTACAACTGTCCTAATATAAAGCTTGCATAGTTGCTCTTGAAGGTTTAAATTTGGAATGAAAAATGTTAGTAAAAAATTACTATTGAGCATCGGAGTTTTCTATTCCTTTTACAGTGTAGCTAATGAGATTGATACGAACTATAGTTACAAACTAAATGAACAATCAATCGATAAGATTTACATATTATCTAACCTAAAAAAAAACTTAAGTACGAAAAATTGCCAATAAAATTAAAATAAATAATCATATTAAATAGAATCTACTTAACATGAAGACTAACAGTCACAAACAGTTTACGTATTATTTCATAAAAAAATAATCTGGTTTTCGTATTATTATTTATTTTTCGACGCGCGTAGTCGGCGTAGTGGACCGTAACATTACTTCTAATGACGAAAAAACATGAGAATGTAATCGAATTTTCTTTATGAGCCTAATGTACTTACAATAATTACTTACAGAAAACGTACGAGATAAAACGACGCTTTTGGCACTTAGGTCTTTTCCTTTTATTCTTTTGAACAATCTTTTTTCGAGTTTTTCACTCTTTTATTTGGAACATTTCAACCTACATTAGAGAACATTTTTCTAGTGTCGTAGTTTTTTTCGTATTATATCTCTAATAATACGACACGTGAAAAATGTTTTTCTGCGTTGCGGATTTAGAGTGCTTGCACACAGATGGGTTCTTATGAGATTTTGCAGAGGTACCGACCGCTCGTTTCATTTTCTGAATATCAAAGTCGAACGAGGAAGTCCGTCCCTATTATTATGCTAAAGTAAAGAGGGACTTCATCCACTACAATACGTCACAAAATCCTAAAATCTAGCTGTCTGCAAGTACACTAACTATTCGTTTTCGAAGAATATTTCGTAATTTTAACGCTTCAAAAATCCTTTTATTACAAGTGCTTTATCGGAAGAGTGCTTACTTATAAAGGAGGTATTTAATCTATTAAATTATTGCTATATTAGTTACATTTCAATAAAACTTTTTTAAATTTCAAACTTGTCTAAGTAACTAATGCGCTAAATCTTACTAGTTCATCAAAATCTTCACTAATTAGTTTTTAAAACTTTTTAATTTTCTTTAATAAAATATTTTTAACGTACTATTGGTCTTTAATAAAATTTATTATTAAATTCTGTTAATACTATAAATGAAGTGACTAGAATGCATACATGCAAAACTTGATGAGAGTGAGCAATTTTATACTTAAAGATCAAATGTTTGGATATTTTTTTAAATAGGTACGTATTTTGTTAATCATAAGAAAACACTAATCATTTTGTTCAACGCGACTTCAAGTCTTAATGTTTTAGTATTAGTCTTTCTTATGCTTAATAAAATACGCAGAGAAGCGTATTATTATAATCTAAATGGGAAATATTATAATAATATCTGTACAATTATTTGTCATTTAGAAATTACACTTTACCATCATCGTATGCGATACAAATTAATGAATTAAAATTACTCATCGCAAAATATTGCGATGGCTTTAAGTATGATTTATGCGGACTTGAGTGTCTCGATTCAGGCCTTGGCCTAGATATAGTAATAGTAGGAATATGGACCGATGTTTCTGAATATGAAATATATTTTATTCACATAAACAGGGACATACGTAAATTCCGATATTTGTTTCAAAAGTAAACGTTGCACCGTATTGGCGTATTATTAATTTAAAAAAATACTTGAGCACTTGTAATTTTGACAAAATAGTTTTGATGAAATAATAATACGAGTAATGTCTGTACTTTACTGTTTCAACATATTCCTACTATTGATCCAGACCATGGAATCACAAGTAAGTCCGACATTAAAGTTATTATCGAACAACGAAACTCTAAATTCAACAAGGAGTTAGTCCTCGAGCGTACATGACGATGAGTCCATGAAAAGGTACCACTAGTTATAACAATTTAACTACTAGATCACAAACTGATTGACTAAAGAACTATTTATCAATTCCTTTATTATTCACTAGATGAAATATTGCATTTTTAAGCTAAATGTTGAGAAGACGCGATTATTATACATGCACAGAGGACAATGGAAGAATCACGTGTTTGTGCGGGAAATAAGGCAGCAACAATAATAGTGAACGTTTAAAAATAGTATTATTAATTTATTATTATTTCCGAATAGGTCTTTTTCCGTTTGAGTTATTTTGATTAGGAATAATAATAAGGAATCTTTGACTTTTACCGATATGTGTTTGTGTAAAAATTACGGCTGTAAATATCGTTTCTTTACTTACATATAGTTGGCGTTACTTTTCTTTTGAGGTTAAAAATTAGCACTAATTATGATTTTTTAATATAGGTAATGAGATATTTTGTGTTTCATAACTATCTGCTATGGTTCCGCTAAATTATTATATTGGCGTATTATTAAAACACATAACTCATTATTAATTTAGAAAGTGTGCGTGCACTTTCTTCATCCAATCAAAACCTAACCAATTCATTATTCATCAATAATATTTATTGTTTTATAGCAAGACATGTACAATACTCAAACACGCTGAAACCTTTCTTTACGCCAACGTTACCTAACGAAATAATACGCCGCTATAATAATACGACGGAATCTTAATAGTGTTCCAATACTTTAACATTATTATGAACGTAGCTAGGATTCCCTTAAGAACTTTACTTTCTTTGACTGTATTTTACTTTCATTAAATTTCAAACGCGTACGTTAATGACTGGATCATAAAAAAACCTTTTTACGATTTATTCGTCTTGAAAACACATGCTTTGAAATGTAATTAATTAAAAGTCAAGTAATGAAATCATTAGTTAATGACTTCTCCACTATAAAAAATATTTCATTATTTCAACAATGCCATTCATTATTTAATGCCTTCATCATTGCATAGCATTAAAAACTCCCTCAAAAACATCAATTTTTCTTTTGAATTTTCTAGATTTATATCAATATTCTTTTCTTCAGATCCCTTACAGATTGAATCGGCTAAGCCGTCTACAATGTTCCTTTGAAATTATACCCTAATCCTTTCTTTAGCTTAGTGATGTTCCTTTGTTGTTCCTGTATTATACTGGCGCCAGACTTGTGCGTACTTGCTTGCTCACATCATGTCGCACAGACCTAATGACAGCAAATATCCGTGCCACAGAATGTGAACAAAAAATAGCGCACTTGTCTGGTACCAGTATTAGATAAAGGAATCCTCGTACGTTCATTTGTTTTAATAACTCTCTATATGTATGAAGGTGGCAGTTGTTGACGCGTTGGATATGGAATTAATTGTACTACGGGTTATTTGATTTATCACTACACTCTCTCTTCTTGTGTAATCCTCGTTTGGTTATATATTACCTGGAAAAGATTTACAATTATGTTAATGATCGTAGCATTTTACATATTTCTAAATATGTTTTGGTTTAAAAATGTAACCAATGAGATTTGTTATATGAATGAATGAAGTTAGACCAAGTTTGGAAAATGATTTTATCTAATGTACAAAACTGGTCCTAAATTGCTTCCTTTGGGCAGCCCTTATCTTTGTCATGATTGGTTATTGTAAAGAAGTCTATATTAGTTTTATTTACCTCTCGTCGGAGTCTTCTGGCTCGGAGTTGTCCTCAACCCGTATTGGTGAGCTGGGTATAGAATATAAAAATTATTAAATACATTTTAAGTTTATTAAACGCTTAAGTTAGATCTGCGAACATTGCAAGAATTTGTTTACCGAGTATAAATTGTCAGCAGGCAACAACTTGACTAACTTAACCTACTAATAACTGTGTAGCAGAAGAGGAGCAAGATCATCAAGAGAATATAAAATTAAAATGTTATTTTGCAAAATACATATATCTACACTTTTCAGATACATGTTGCCAATTGAATATAGTCTTTATTTATAATTTAAGCATTATGCGAGAAAAATAAGATCGTTGTAGAACACCTAACTTTAATATTAAATATTCTATCATCAATTACAAGAATCAGCTAACAAACGGTTGGACGTAGCATGGATTAGGTACACGACGACCGGATACATCGAGCCGCAGTTGCAAGATGTATGAGAATAGTACATATATCTTGCTATTGTGTGGCAACCGCAAGGCATTGATGCGGGTCTACCGTCCACCTAGTAAGTTATGTATTCCTGGTACCTACAATACTAGCTACACGTTGTATTGTCCAGTTAAGTCTTGGTAAGGAATTATTGATGATTTTAATTGTGACCTCGTGGTTAGGTATTACTTGTATTTTTATTGTACTGTGTAATATTTTTCTTTGTAAAAATTAACTTTTCCCTCGCAGTTTGGTTATTTTCAGAAGTTTAACCCGCCGTTGGGAATATTTATTATTATTTTACTCTATCTAACTCGAGCTAATAATCGTTTTAATTTTTTTAATAAACTTGAAGACGTAATTCCTAAAGCTGGTTACACTTTATTATAAGAGTAGAAAGCAATCGTTTGAACATTAAAAGAGGTATAAGTTAATTAGAGCCCTCATTTCTGCGCTCAGTAGATGGCGTTACTAAAGCATTAAGGGTCAATTTTTCAGTCGTCAGTTATTTCTTATCTGTAGAATAAAATTGACATTTGATTGTTATTAGTATGGAAGAATTGTCAAAATATTCCAAATTATTCCACTGATAAAATTTAACTGAGCATTGAAAAATCGGCCCTTGTTCAATCACTGTAAATTTTATATCGTCCAATAGCGTATCGTACAAGCGACCATCCCCATTAGCAGTGTCGATACTCTCAAATACTGCCTCAAAGCTTCACACAAAGCCTGTAATAACGTCACAATTACACACATCTCACCAAGAGCACAACTCCTCGTCCCTCCACGTGTCTCAGTCTAGATTCCCTCCGTTTCTCAATCCCGCCTTGGTCTCGGGAGGGACCTGCTTCCTGAAGCAGTCGTCGAGGAAGGCGGACATTGTGCGGTAGAGGTGACGCTTTACACCTTCCAGGCTGTGGCCTTCATCAGGGTAAATCTGTGGGAGAAATTGAGGTGGTTCTCAAGTTTGTCGTGTATTAAAGATGAAATTATATCTAGAAGATTTTTTTCTGTTTTGTGTGCATGTCTTATTGTATCATGCTATAGTTATAATTATAGATTATATTATCATAAGAATCCTAACACAGTTTCGGCAAGGTAACTTAATGAGTTCAAAAGCCCCAAGTTATCCTATATTATTGGTTAATCTACGCACTACGTATCTTCATAAATAAGTACTGTTCCTTAATTCATTTCTGAAACTCTTAATACACATTATTTTCTTACCTGCTGTCTAAACATGCTCCCCTGGTCGGCCAGAGCTCTCGCGAGCGCCATGCTCTGCTGCACATGTACATTATTGTCTGCGGTCCCATGTACCAGGAGCAGCATCTTGTCATGAAGCGCTGCTGCTTGCTTCGTGACGTCAGCGTCTGCGTACCCTCGGTAGTTGCCCGTTGCGTTGGGAAAGCCCATGTAGCGTTCCGCGTATGCAGAGGCTGTGTAACAAGAAACATATTATTATTGTTAAAATGATATATTACTTCGTACAAGACTATTCTTACTATTGTAGTGCAACCACAAGGCATTAAAGTAGACATACCTACAAACCGCCTATAAACTTATGTAACCCTGGTACACAAAAGTATTCAATCTATATAATTCTCAAAATCATATAATATCACATAATCTCTTTACTCAGGTATGCATCCTCTAAATCAGAGGTCTAACTGCGATCCATCAATATTCCTCTTTCTTATTTCGGACAAATGAATTTCCAACCGATTATGCTGCTAATATTACTATTAAGGCTATTCAAACGAATCAAAACACTTCATGAGTACCTAAAAATAAACAAATAATTTTGACTAAACATTGTATTCTATTATTATTTCAAAAAGTTATGGTTTTAAATGGAATTTTAATGAAAACCTCTGTCAGATTAACAGTAGGTACCTTTAAATGGAAAAACTTAGTTTGTAGACAATTAAACAGGACTTCTTTTGTTTTAGCTTTTAGACAATTTCGACATTAACCAAGCATTGTTTTAAAAGGAAACTTTGATTTTCTTTTCAGTGAAAATAATACAGTTTTTGACCCCTAAAAAGGACGTTTTCAATAAAGAATTTAGAGAAAGAGAGTTATTATTTCAATTCGTAGCTAAAAACAAAATTGCTGACTGACGAAAACATCTTTTGTTGATATTTTAATGCTACAAAGAAAGTATTTATTTGAGATCAACTTTTAAATGGAAAGTTTCAATTTTGTAAATACAAAAGAGACAGAACTGAAACTTGTATTTCAAAAAATAGCCTTGCGTTGGATTTGTATTGAAATATTGGACAACCCATAATAATGTTTGTTTGTTTTGTTTCTGAATTGTATAAATTTTTATTTCTTATATTTAATTACTTAATAATAACAGTATAACTTAACCCTTTGACTACCGTCATTATAGACACAATTAAAGAACAATAGGTTGCGGTCACCGGTGTCCTCGCGGTGTTTGACAGTTTAATGGCGTAAGCTATAGTGTTATAGGTAAATGTTCTAAATAAATAAATAAATGTACAGTTAATTTTGAATTTAAACCTTATTCCTACGTCTTCTAACCCGATATTATCAAAGCCACACGTAGCTCTCAAAATAATTCCTTAACCCCTTATAAGTACGGGAATAAAAGCTTCATCATTATTTGTAACAATGTTTCTAAAATAATTCCAAAGCAAAGACCACATTTAGGCGTTTAATCACCCAAGATTAACCAACCCCCGTTCAATTCAAAACAAAGGATTAAGGCGCGTTCACACAGGCACGACGTGACGCGGCGACTTTGAGAAGATATTTTGTAGTGATAGGTAGAAACATGTGTATGGTAAGCCGTCTGCTAACGGGTGACGGTACTAGGTAAAATACATTTGTTAATTTCTATATTCTTCTCGAAGATAACATTTTTTTAAGGGGGGAAAATCTTTGAATGACTTCTCCCGCCTGGGTGAGCCGGAAGGGAGTGTCAGACTCTTACTGACTAAAAACCACCCCGTTCCTACTCCTACACTACCGAGCCGAAGCCCCGATAACCCGTTAGGTTCTCCGCGGCTCCAAATCGGCATCAGCCCTATTGGGCCCCATCCGTGGTGCACTGATGGCTCTTTAAAGCCGTCTACTGACGGTACTGGGTAAAATACATTTGTCACTTTCTATATTCTTCCCGAGAGCAACATGGGAGCTGAATAAGAAACATTATTTGACAGAGATCGGACACCATCGCTTTATGAAGCCGGGCACACACAACGAACATCGATGTGTGATAATGTGAACCTTTTAAACTGCGATTTTTAACATAAATCTGCATAACATGGTGATTGTGGACATCCTTATGGAGGTACGGTCAAAGGTCAAAAGTGCCACCGTAAGACTACACACACACACATGCACACGCATATTTTTATCCGTGCGTGTACGCGTGCGTGTGTTTATACTTACGCACGCGTTTTTATGTACATTAATATGAAATTACTTACGCATTGCCGTGTGAACATAACTCACGGTGGCAATGGACTTTTGACCTTTGACTGTAAATAGTCCTTATAGTCCGGTAGTAGACTGTTACAGCGTTTTGATGTGGAGATACATGCACGTATGCAAGAGTTTCTTTCGCTTACAAGAAAATGTGCGAGATGCTGTAATCATTTTAATTGAAAAAAATACGCGCGTTGTCTTACGTCTATGTGTACTGTCCTTAACAAAATTCAAGTAGGTTGCGTAATAGTCAGTCATGCAGCTTTCATTAAAATAACATTAGGGTCCATTAGACCCCGGCAGATTGCTTTGTTTATACCAATTACAATCGTCCTTCGATTACTGGGTGACTACCTACTTTCAGTTCCTTTGTTGTCTGGCCTTTTTAAACTGAATTTTGTGGTTACTGCTTCGTGAAAATAGTGAGATTTTTCGATTAACGTAGGTCTATTATTGTAGACTGAATGTTGATGAGTATGTTTTGGTACTAATGAACTATTTTTTCTCTGCGGTTACAATTGCATAGTCCTAGTTATTTATCAAGTAAGCATACGACTATCAGATGCAAAAAGAACATCGGTGTCGTATTTCTAGAATAGCGCATTTAAGCAAAGAAACAAGGAACAAACAAGGGTTTATATTTTTGATATTTCAAAACACATGTTAAATTACAAGTAAAGCTTTCATTCAAAACACACCACTGTCAGTTATTAACAATCTATATGACAATACCATCGCTAACTTCACTATTCATTACGTACCATAGTATCGCCAGCGCACGATGGGTGTCAATGCGATGCCGCAATGGAACACATTCAGCGTGCTGGCTAACGCGAGAGCGGCGAGGAAGCCGCCATGGGCTTGTCCCCATACTGCGACTCGACGCGCATCTATGAAGTGGAGGGAGTCCCGTAGGTACCTGGTAAGAAAGAAGGGAAGATAAATAGAAGTCAAGTAGTACACATACATACATAACATCATGCCTTTTATCCTCGAAGGGGTAGGCAGAGGTGCACATTATACCACTATACAATGTAACACCCACTTTTCACTATTTATGTTATGAGTCCCATGTAATAGGGGGTGAGCCTATTGCCATATACCGGGCACAGTTCCAGACTCCGTGCTACTACTGAGACTTTTTTTAAAAACCCAGTAATACTTTGCCCGACCCGAGAATCGAACCCGAGACCCCTTACCCGGCAGCTGCAATTGCGACAGTTAAGTAGTGTATTACAATATACTGCAACCACATAACAATTTTCATCGATATGGTTCATGTAATAAGTGGTGGGAAGGTATTGTCATTCACTGAGCGCCAAACCAAACTCTGTACACTCAACTGGTCAAGATCCAAGCAGTCACAGGTGATCGCTCTCTACTTACCCCATTATAGACCTTATTTCCGATGTTTAGACTCTACTTTTGTATGAACAAATGTTGTGAATTATTCATAATCGGACATTTACGAGTTAAGAATGTTTCGGAAAATGGTAATAAGAATTTGCATGACATGTTAAATGAACGCAACAAGGTGATTGGTATTCGGTAGATAGTTGCGTCGGTTGTATTGTAACGTATACTACTAATGATTATGGATCCTGTCTTGATTTGAAACTAGTCGAATAACTTCGTCGACCAGTTACGTACGTAAGTAAACTGTGTAATGTAATTAAGTATAGAATACTGGGTTCTCGAGTTCGGCTACCAAAATTTTACAGTCCTTAGAGAAAAACAGATATAACGGTGTTATATAATTTAACTTCCAAACGCCTTTTTAGAGACCCCAAGATTTTACAGCTGCGTAAAATTGTTTGACACTAAAATATTCAGTAGAGAGGCAACATCGAGTGCCTTGGAGGTCCATACTAACGTTCAGATCCACTGGGGATGGAAAAAAGTACTTGTACATTTTATATGAGTGTACGTAGACTGTTGCCATTTTGGAACAACTCGATTTATAGTGAATACTTAGTTTAAATGGTCCTGTGTACCTATTCGAAGGTAAATAAATACATACATAGATGAGTGTTTAAAGTTCTATGTGAATAGGGGTAGTCATTTTGTTTAAAAGGCTCCGTTAATATTATTTAAATAACAAGAATGTTCTTTTTAAGTAAAACACATTATTAGATGGTTCAGTAGGATTTTTTTATGGAGTAAGCTGGTAAAAAAGTAGACTGATCACCTGATGGTAAACAATCGGCGCCGCCTTTGGACACCTGGAACACCAGAGGCGTTACAAGTGTGTTACCGGCTTTATGGGGTTGAGGAATTTGAGGATTGTTGGGGATTGAGGAATTGAGGAGATTGGGGACGGGGTACGAAGGGACGGGGGGGAATAGGGCCTCTGGTAACCTTGCTCATACGATGAAACACAACGCAAGTGTTGCTTCACGTCAGTTTTCTGTACGGACGTGGTATCACTCCGGGCCGGTCGAGCCGATTTATGCTGAAGCATGGCTCTTCCACACTTAAAAAGGATGGTGATGAATAGTCTTTGTGGCGAATATACCTAATCAGGTATAGAGATATCAGTAACTTTAAATAAGTTTATGTGCAGACGACGATGACCATTCTTCCTTAGCAGAAACTAAAGGCATAGCTACAGTACTGCACAAATCATCTACGTCATCAAAATTCGCAATAACTTACTCGGCAACCTCCAACTGGTCTTGTAGCTCGACGGTGCCGAGCCGGCGATGTAGCGCGTGGTGTGCGCCGAGCCCCCTCCCGCCGGCGCCGCGCGCGTCCACTGACGCGAGTATGGCACCAGCACCCGCGGCCAACGAGCCCCAGTCTAATGACCAACGCTCTGTTACCAGCTGCGTTCCTGGTGCCCCATGACTGTTAAAAGAGAAGGAAATTAAAATTTTGTGAATGTTTTTGGTAAAATTAACGTAACATCCATCAATGATGAATAATATGCTGTTTGGGTAAATTCCCTAAATGATATTTGTTTGAGAGACACTACTGAAGAAAGTATAGTCACTAATCTTTTTCAGAATGAGATCAATAAAAGGTTGGTCTAGCCAAATAACAATTCTGTTTCCAAGAAACTTTTTTTCAGACATAAGGCCCCCATATTGAAGAGTCGTGAATGTCGAGACATTAGTGATTGCTTGCATACAATACATAGAGGTACAATTTAATCTTAGCAGGTTAGATTAACAAAACTTCCAACATAATAATTTAATACCACAAAGTCTTTGTTAATAACAGTTATGATGATAAATTAACAAGAAATTCAAACTCAAAAACCGCAGAAGAATATGCTAAAAATTAATATTGTTTGAAGAAAGTAATGACAGTAATAAATTCGGTCATAAATATCTCTTATTACTCACAAGGAATGTTAAGCATCAGATATATTTCTGTCTTTTGTCCAAATGATTTGTTAGACCTCAAGCTATTACGAGTCTTATTGCTTATCCAACAATGACTTTAATGGCGTGTCTATCGAGCAGGACTAGACTAACAATCGAATAAAATGTAAGTACCGTTATATTTTACGTTTACGCTTAACTTTGTTGAAGAATTCGAATGTTTTTGGTGTTCATTGGTTTTGGGAGTTTGTAATTCAGTGGGAGACGATTCATGCGTTTTATTGTTACTAGATAACTAGATCCACTGTACTAGCTTGTCGACAATGTTGAATAGCAAATAACTAAGCTACCTTTTTGCTCATTGTAGCGTGAGGCCTGTTTCTCCAATCACTGTAACTGTCAAAAATGTAAATGACCAATCATTTGACCCTAGTTAATTTTCTATTGGACACACAGATCTCATGTCACATTAGTGCTATGTGTGTCTAGTGTAATTTGTTTTACGTAAACGCGATCGAAACGTTACCGCCCTCTGATTGGTTGATTAACTTGGAGCAGCCAATCAGAGCGCCGAACGTCATAAAGGATAACATTTAAGAAAATAAATGAACGATAAAAATGTTGGTTGGTTCTAATACTCACACTTTCAATACTAATGGATACTTGGTGACTTCATCTTCCCTCAACCCTGGCGGGAGGAGTAGTCTCACTCTCGCGGCGTGGCCACTGGACAGCTGCACCGAAAACGTACGGGGCGTCGGCAGAGCTATTGTGGCTAACTTTTCCTGTTGGAGACAGAGTAAATTTTATATTTAGAATATTATAGTATCGATATTAGACCTGCTAAAAATTATATTTCCCATTTTCTGAAAGATCTTTAACCCATTTTCTGGAAGAAGTATAGTATACCCACTGCAAGTAACATTCTTACCAGACATTTAACACAAGATTGATTTTATTTATTTATCATTTCATGTACCCACACCATGTATCATTTCATGTACAAACACATTACAAGCATGAGGTACATAGGTACTGCATATCCATTGATATGAAAATAATCCTTTTTGCGTCAGTTTTTGGTTGATATGACGCGACGGTACAAATAAAGAATTAAGTCAAGGATCGTCTCATGTCTCAGTCAGAATTGTAATTACAATAATTAATTATGTTTCCAGACTACACTTGATTAGTTTTTGATACATGTTTAAACCAAAATAAAGTAGGTGTTTAAAAAAATAAAGTATGGGAGAGCCACGCTTCGGCACGAATGGGCCGGCGAAACGCCACTTTAGCGCTTGTCTACAGAGAGAGTAGAAATCAAAATGTATGGGGATGACATTGACAAGCGTCAAAATTTACGTCAATTTCATATGATTTGGTTTTCTATTCTACATGTAGACAAGCGATAAGTGGCATTTGGCTACAGCTACAGGTATTATAGTTCGATTGTCTTTTATCATAACTTGTTAAGGTTTGATATTACCATGTTTATGTTTTTCCAAGGGGTATATTTTTTTGATAGTACGAGTACGAGGTACCTACTTACCTAATTGAAAATTTCGAAAGTGAAGTTGTTCGTTTTCCGATTTGCCATCATACAGAATTATGTCTAACAGCTAAAACTACTTTTTTAATCACGGAAACCTGTTTTATTTTTACAGAGAATACATATTATCTTTATGCTAGCCAAAAGGTTAGCTTAAATTTTAACGAAAAATATTAAAGCAATGCATTTCGTAAATCATTTTTGTATTTCTAACAATTTTAAAAGGGACACTTTTTCCTATTACTAAGATACGAAAACTGGATTGAGTTAATTTTCAACATTTCCATTTTAAAATCCCCAGTATACCAAAAATCACCGTCTCTGTAATTCTGTCCGGTAAAAATCGCGTAAAAAGAAACTCCACAAGATTTGTTGTACCGTAAAATAGATAGGATAAGCAAAAAGGTTGGAAATTCAGCTTTTTGAAGTAAAAAAAAGTATGAAAGCATCGATCCGTAGTGGAAACGGAGATTATCCGGTATAATAGCTAAGCTGGATTTCATCCTTCGACGACTTCTATGATTTCAAATATTATGCTTACTCTTGTACAGACACAATTTGTCAAGTGAAGTCACTTCTGACACTTATTTTAAGTATGGTACTTAAAGTAAGTATTTTATTTGTTCTGTCGAAATTCTGAAATAAATACGAAACGCAGTATGATATTTGCCTGAAGTAGGTCTAGGTATGGTAAGTAACAGGATAGTAAAGGTTTTTAAAAGCAAAATTTAATCTAAGCTTTTTTAATAAGCCGATTAAATAACATACGGATCACCTGATGATAAGGAATCGGCGCCGCTCATGGGCACTTGATACACTAAAGGCGTTACAAGGCGTGTGTTACCGGCCTTTTAGATATTAGGAATTTGAGGATTGCTGGGGATTGAGGGATTGAGGAGGAACATGAAACACAATGCAAGCGTTGTTTCACATCAGTTTTCTGTGATGTCGTGGTATCACTCCGGACCAACCGGCCCATTTGTGCTAAAGCATGGCTCTCCCACACTTCAGTCACTTCAGTTTTAATTTTATTGCAGTGTTGTTTTAAGTTTATGACTTCTTAAACCGATAGAGTTTCAAATTAAAATAAAGTGAATTTATGACACACGTTTTAAATTAATTAAACAGGTAGTATTTAAGTATCAACTAATAAGACTCTAATATCAAAATGCTACTCTTCAGATCGTCTTAAAATCGAGTGGAATTTGAGTATTTGAACATTGGTGAAATGTACGCATTAGATTATATTGATCTGCTGGCCACCGTACCAGGCAAACATAAAATCAAAACAGTTTTCTGTACAAAGTTCACAAACTTACCTTAACAATAGTATTGTTCTCCAAATGTGCGATTAGCCTAGGGTCAGGCAGTGCAGTCTTATGTAGACTGAATGTAGGCACCCCAGGTCCAAGGCACTCCAGCACGAAGTACGCTGATGATGGACTGAAGTGCGCCTCGTGGTAGAGGCACGGCAAGTTCTGGGGCATGCCATCTATACAGAAAAATGGAAAAATACGTTTTTTTTATTCCTAACGAGATTTTTAAAAGGGTTTTTTTTTACTACGGGCTCACCAGGGTACTTCTTCTTTTTCTTCTTGCTGGGAGAAGGAGAGGTTGGTGGCAGTTCTTCATCCCAGTCGCTGTCGCCCCAGGTACTGTCGCCTGATGATGCTAGGCTGCCGTAGTACTCTAGGTTTATTGACGGAGATGGCTACAAGGAAAATATTTATAAGATGCGATCATTCTTTTTGGTTTTTTTATTAGTTTAAGCCGTCATATTGTAGTATTAAGGTATTTTACTGGGGTATGGGGTAAACGAGCAGACTTGAAATCATCCCATGGTAAGCGATTAGTACCGTGTACTAAACACTGCACCAACCAATATGTACCTAATACTTTCCTTTTATACCAACAAATACTCTAAAATAAAAGTCATGCCAATAGCTTTGAAGCAATAGTGATTTCTACTCATGAAAATTTATACGATAGTAATGATTTTACAATCCTGCACAGACTATATAGCATTTTCCTCCATCTTGTTTCCATATGTCTCGCATCCACTGCAGATGCGTAGGTATCCTATTTACGACATTCTGGCATTGCGCCATTACGTATCGAAATAAACGTTAAATGCCATTTAATAGCAATCATGTGGACATCATTTGTTTGCAATTTGGTTTCGTATAAAATTTTGATTTGGTCGTAAAATTGTCTGCAGCGATAATCTGCAGTGCGATCCCTTCATAAAAGGAACTCTTTGTTTATTCTGGTGTTTTAGTATCCAGCTTTTCCGTATTCAATTATTAAATAATCTAATTAGGTTATTTATCTTTTAGTAATGCTCTATCGTGTGATTGAACTGAACATACCCATCTTTGAATTTTAAACGACTTCTTAGACCGTTATGTTCTCCTAGTACCCTTAGTTCATATGTTGTAAGTAGTACAAACCTGTGAGTTACACGTGACACAGTATGGCAATTTTTGCGGGGAGCCCGGCCTCGGCGCCTCGGATGATACTCTGTATAGGTGCTGTTGTCCTGGTTTTCCTTCTGGGATGCCCAAGTAATAGCTAGAAAAAGAAACATGCGTTTATCAATAAGGTACTTTTCTATTTTAGATAGGGTTAAAAGTAAATTACAAAATATACCGATATACTTACATATGCTGGTTTGCATGGTCCCAAGCCAGTAACTGGACCACATCAAAGCTCCCATGTGTTAGGGGCAGAGCTCTAGGCCCGTGAGAGTTATGTTCCGTCCTCACAATGTGACGGAACAACCCAGCTGGACCATCCCTGACTGGGGCCAAGGTCACTAGGGCACCGCCACCGGCTGACCAGAGAGGAGACGGTGCTGATTCCACCCAGCCGTCTAACCCTGAGGATATCCTGTATACCTGTGACATAAAGTATTGTTGATGAATCGAATTGTGATATTTATTGAATGATTTGATTATATTGGTATTTAATGCGACTGTTGAAGACACATTAGACAGTTACCTATCTGTTAAGATGCATTAATTAAAAAAAACGAAATATAATAAGGGGATTGGAAATATACATTGTAATTTTTATCGTGATAGTATATCAAAATACTTAAAAAAACAATAAAAGTATCGTTTGACATTCAAAAATAAAGTTTTCTCAATATTTTCGTCCCACTTTCAAAATGATATGACCGAAGTTACATTTGAGTTTCGTTATAAAATCGAAACATTTTAAAATTGAAAAGATACGACAGCACAGAGATCCTGCGCCATTTTGTAAAAAAAAAAACGAGCTTCGAAATATGAATTTAAAATAGAAAACGGTATCAGTTCGAAATGTTCGAATTGTAAAACTGTTTCTTGTTCAATTTTGTTTCGGAAGAACCTTTTTACGATTTTTATTTCTTTCAATAGTTAGATAGGTATTCGTGAGATCTGTGATAGTACCTACATTATGACAAGCTATTTTTTGCTTTGAAATTATTGCTTCATATTTTCAGTAGGTACTATAATATTTATTATCTCAGCAAAAAATATTTGCGAGGTTGAAAGCATGTTTTTAGAACATAACACTTATGCCATGCCCTTTAAACGAAACCTTTTTTCTATATTCTTAGCATTTGTTACCATCTCGCCTAAGAAATAACCGAAAAGAATTACCATAATAAATAACCATCTTTATTTATTAAGCAATAGGGTTTACTTACGGTAAGTCCCCTCTTTGAGGAGTGGCTTGAGAGACGCTACGGCGTCCTCACCTACCGCCTGACGCAAGTCCTCACCGGACATGGAAGTTTCGGGAGGTACCTGTGTCTAATGGGGCGGGAGGAAACGCCCGGGTGTCATCACTGCGAGGACCGCCCTGAGGACACGGTGGAACACACTGTAGCGGAATGCCCTGCATGGGCTGAGCACCGCCGTGTCCTCAAGTGATCGGCGATGGCGACCTCTCGCGTCCGGGCCTAGTGCAGGCCATGATGCGGAGCGAGGAGGACTGGGATGCCGTCTCCTCCTTTTGCGAAGCAGTCATGCTAGCTAAGGAGGAGGCGGGACGCGTGAAGCGCTGCCTCCTCGCAACCCAGCCATCGCGAAGGACACACCGGGCGTCGGGGATCGCGGGACGATCTCCGGCCACCGTAAGCGCGGGCCTGCGGACGGCGAGCATGGGTGGCTCCCCGTCCGATCAGAAACAGACCCGGCCGTACGGCGCGTCGCGTTCCGCGAGCGCCTCAAGGAGCCATCAGACCACCACAGATGGGGCCCAGTAGGGCCGATGTCGATTCGGAGTCGCGGAGAACCTAACGGGTAACCGGGGCTCCGGCTCGACGTGCAGGAGAAGGAACGGGGTTTTTTTTAGTCAGTAAGAGTCTGACACTCCCTTCCGCCTCACCCAGGCGGGAGCAGTCATTCGATGATTTTCCCCCCTTAAAAAAAAAAATAGGGTTTAATTTCGAAAACCAATAGCTTACCTCTTGACAGTACCACATGGGACTTTTGCAGACGGAGACCACGGACAAGTTCTGCATCCTTGTGAGCCAGACTACACATACTTCTGTGAGGGACACCCATTGTGCACTCGTGAAGTAGTAATCACTGTAACAAATGAAAATAAGGCTTATGGGTGTGAGTATAGAGTTACTTTTGTAATAGACTCATATTGAGAAAGGAAATATCAATTTTGATTGTTTTTTTATGTGATAAGTCTGTAAACGAACAGACGGATCGCCTGATGGTAAGCAATCGGCGTCGCCCACGGACACCTGGAACACCAGAGTGCTAACGCACTTCCGTATGTAAAACCTTTTGGGGATTAAGAATTTGAGGATTGTTGGGGATTCAGGGATTAGGAAGGGGGGTAATTGGGCTTCTGGTAACCTCAATCACACGACGTGAAAAAACACAAGTATTTTTTCACGACGGTTTTCTATAAGGCCGTGGAATCACTCTGCTCGAGTCGGCCCATTAGTGCCGAAGCATGGCTCTCCCACACTTGAGACACAAGCGAAAGGTTGTAAATCAAAGTTAAGTAGGTTCAGATATATCGAAGAGCGGTGACGCCTGCCCAACTAAGGCCTGAGTTTACTTAGTTTAACTAATATACTATGGGCTAGGAAAGAATTCATAAATTCCGTTTTTATTTATATTTACTGAATTAAAGGGATATTCATATGATCATTTTTAATGATTTATATTATTTATGACATACTGTCTTACACGTTACCGATGAAACAAACAGGCTCGAATAATGTAAACATACGTATCAGATAACTTACCTACCTATAGACTTTATACAAGAAGCACATTAAACGACATAAATGACTTGTAACCGCATTGAACTATAAAATACGGAAATATCGACAACTTCTACAATTAAACACTATCAATACTAATTATATTACTATTGAACTATACTATTATCTTGTTATTAGTTAAACCTCATACATACATTATGTAAACAAAATACGGGCTATCTCCGTTTTGTATCATATTTTATAATGTTTCAGCCAAAGATGTAAAGAGTAGACAAGATATGCTAAATACATTATTTTTTTATGATTTGCTGTCTTCTAATATGGCTAATGATTTCCTTCTGTCTATTTAGTGCGGATTTTCAATATGAAATGCCATTTATTCGGCCTTAAATTGTTCACCCATTTTACACCAATATTCATAATGATGGTATACTTTGGTCTTTATGGCCTACGCCGAGCACAATTCAAGTTCATTCACACTCTAGTAGAGTCCAATATGAATTAAGAAATTTAAAAAAAATAAAAAATAGCCTAATATTACTTCGCTTGACTAGTTAATCGAGCCCGAGACCCTTTGCATAGCTGATACATTTTTAATATCCCTTAACCAATAGCCAACGTTTTAAGAACATGAAATGAATACCATATCATGTTCTACTGTATATCTGTGTTTTTAGCTCAATTATCTAGCGCAGTTTAGAGCTTGCAGCGGCTTAAAGCTGCTGAGAGGTTCATATTCTTCGTTTTATATGGAGATACGAGATAGCTAGTCTACATAAAATTTAACTAGGGATTTTGTAATAATGCGCAGTATTGGTATATTGGAATAGATGTTATTATAATAAGCAACAGATTATAATATATCTTGTATTTTACAAATACTATTAGAAACAAAAATAATTTAGCATTTTTAGGCAGTTGGATAATTTTCTACTAGGAGACCACAATTCCGAGGAGGTCGTTAAAAGAAATAATTTGTCTTGTGACAGATGGAAACAACACTTTCTCAGAATATCGACCGGAGTTATACCACGGCCTCACAGAAAACCGACGTGAAGCAACGCTTGCGTTGTTTCGTCGTATGAGTGAGGTTACCGGAGGCCCAATTACCCTCACCTTCCCCAATCTCCCCAATTCTTGAATCCCCAACGATCCTCAAACTCCTAATCTCCAAAAGGCCGGTGGTAACGCACTTGTAACGCCTCTGGTGTTCCAGGTGTCCATGGGCGACGCCGAATGCTTACCATCAGGTGATCCGTCTGCTCGTTTACCGGCTTTTGCTATAAATAAATAAAAAAAAAAATTATTCTGCTGCGATTACTGGAAAGTAAATAAAATAAAGAACTTACCCCTCTTCTATAATAACTTTGGGTGGTGTGAGGTGTCGAGTGCGAATGTGTTTCGGATCTGCGATGTCGGCGACTGTGAGAGTCACTGTAGGGTTGTTAGTACCAGGCTTTGGGTACCTTACGCTTCTGATCTCCGGGTATGTCTGCATGAAGAAAAACGATTAGTTTAAAAAGAAATCCAAATTATTTTACATACCAATTAACAAAAATATTGTAATACTGTTGAAAATTTCTGGGTTAGGTATGATTATAAATTAAAATAATTAGGTTATTGTTACAAATTGTTATAGGAAACAAAAAAAAAATGTATTTTCAGACGCAGTTGTCAATTAACTATTCCGTATATTTAAAATCCTCTAAAATTACATTTTTAAATACTATTAAAAAATAATAGGAGCCGACCAGTAGCGCGATCATGGTCCAAGTTACCGGTGGTTAGGGCTCCTCATGATACCTGCCGTTTCAAGGAGAACTGCCTTCTGTTTAAGGCCCTTGATCCATCCACCTAACGCCAGCATTCTTAGATGATTGTCGAGGCTTTTAGGGATTAAGCGATTTGTAGGTGTAAGAGCCATTGGTCGGTGCGACTCTCGGCATAATGATAGCCGCATCCACACTTCACATGTCGACAACCTCGTGAGCTAAGTCTAGATATTTTATTTGTTATCTCTCAACGTTCACGAGGTTCTTGTCATGGGGAATGGCGACATCAATTATCATCGTGCGGCGCACTTGTCGGTGTATCACCTCTATGCAGGGCCGGATTTAGGGGTCCAGAGGCCTCGGGGCAACAAAGGAGTGGAGGCCCCCTTGAACCAAATTATTTTCTAGATTTAGATCGAGGACGCTCGCTTGATTCCGAGGACGCTCGATAGATTTCGAGGACGCTCGACAGATTTCGAGTTTAAGAATTGAAGAATACCAATTGTTCACATACTGCAATTAATTTTTTTAATGGTCGAGACACGGAATCGAATAGCCAACCTCCGAGGTTGCGAGCAAGTACCATCCCACTGAGCCATTGAGCCATTGGGGTACTCCCTCAAGATGGGTAGTAAATTGGAAGTGCTTATCAGAGCCATTTGAGATTTTGATATTTCACTGATTGCCTGATTGGAGTGAACAAATATAGATCAATGATTTCTGTTTCTGTTAATATTTAAAATTAATATAATCAAATAATCATGTATGTATAAAGTACTTTAGGCTGTAGGTAAAGGTAAAAGCGAAAAAAAAAATATCAAAGAAAAGATTTTTACTAGGTTTACTAGTTGAAATTTGAAAATTATTTTCCGAAGTCTCTATTGTGGAGGCCCCCTGCTTGTGGAGGCCTCGGGGCTTTCGCCCCGGTGCCCCCCCCCCCTAAATCCGGCCCTGCCTCTATGTCAGGTTTATTGGCTACAATAGTCCTGTCAGTGATGATAGACCGGTCCTAGAACAATGTGTTATGGTCATTTTCGCGAACTGGATCGGGCACATACTTGTAGTACGGTACCTCAGACTCAACAAGTCGATAGTGCAAAGCAAGTTGCTGATGGATGATAATCTTGGCTACTTGATTATGCCTATGCAAATATTTACTATTAGCCAAACGACCACAACGAGAAATAATATGTGTAATGTATTCACCAGAACTTTGACATACCCGACATTATGTCAATGTCAACCGTCCTATGCTTAATAACATATTTCCGGTATTAACTATTTATTGTTACTTATACTCAAAATAAAACTTTTAATTTACCTTAGCAGGATCATCAGTATCTAAAGCTGCTCCGTACCACGGGTACTTCTGTTCATGTACCAGGGTATCATTAAACGTAGCATATAGCACCATATGGCCGTCTGCCGACATCCACAGCGCTGTGCGGGATCCCAGGATCTCTTCTGTAAAGAGATTTAATCATTTAGAACATTGGAAAGTTTCAGAACATAGATGCAGCTCTCATATTTTAATTTGTGTTTCTTTAATAGGTTTTCGTCAGTAATCTAAAGAAATAAAATTGAAAATTGAAGATTGATAATTTTAGTACAATAGGCTATTTGATAGGTTTTTAAAATCCATTTTATATTATGTAATAAAGTCTAAGTAACCCAGTAAAAGATGTTTTTTTTTAATTCTGGTATATATTAGCTGAAAAACATCGAATTAAAAATCAATATTGAAATAATGTGCCAAAAAGCTACTTTGACAATATGGCGCTGCAATGAGGTCGGTGACGTCACTTGCCTGTTGCCTGTATTCTTATCTGTGACAGCTGGCATATAATAATAATATATTTGTTTTGTATTTACAAGCAGGTGGCGTCATGATAAACTCGACCAATCAGGAGAGTTTTGTGTCATGTGACTAACGTTTAAAAAATTCAATTTTTAGATAAAATAATCATTATTTTCAACTTATGTTAATAAATAATATTTTTTTAACTCTTAATTTAAACTGTTAACAGTAATTGACGTTTTATTTTTCGCATTGTCATAAAGCCTATTTAGGTTAGATTTTTGTTGGCTTCACGTTATCTGTTCAAGGTTGGTTGATGATGCTATTGTAACATTGTTTTGGAGGAAAATTTCCAAAAAATAAACCAAAATATACCTTCTATTTACTGTATTAAAATTACTTTAGTTTCACAAAAAAAATACCAGTTCAAGTTTTTCGAACGGGTTTTCTCTGGTACGACTACATCACACCATTCACAATATGAAGTACTAGGCTAGCATAATATCTAAAGAGCAGACGGTACATCATAATTTAATGTAGGCAAAGTAATTAATGTCAATGACTGAGAGTACAGACGGCGACCCGTTGCACAACATCTGCGGGATATTATTAGATGCAGATATACAGAGTGAACCATATTGAAATTCGCAATTAATATAACTCAACACTAAATTATAAAAGATTCCCCTTCCATATTATTATTTTAATTTTGTTTAATTGCCGGGTGTAATAGGACATATTGAAACAAAGACTAAAGAGTTATCAGGTTACACGATACTCCCATTTATTTAGTATATTAATTAGTTATGGTCGTAAGTGAATAAAATCGTTAGTAAAAAATAATGGTCGTAAGTGCGACTGCCGGGCAAGGGGTCTCGGGTTCGATTCCCGGGTCGAACAAAGTATTACTGGGTTTTTTAAAAATTCTCAGTAGTAGCACGGAGTCAGTCATTGTGCCCGGTATATGGCAATAGGCTCACCCCCTATTACATGGGACTCATAACATAAATAGTGAAAAGTGGGTGTTACATTGTACAGTGGCATAATATGCACCTCTGCCTACTCTTTCGGAGATAAAAGCCGTGATGTTATGTTATTAATTAATTATAATATAAATACATATTATAGACCAAAATTAACTCGAAACTGGACATTAAACTGAAACCTGACACTTATTTAATTCATTAACGTTATACGTTTATCATTTATCCCCTTTAATATTTCAATAAAATGGTTCATCGACTAATTCAAATTAGTTTATGCACCGTGCTTTTACTAAATATAAATCACCCTGTGCACGCATGACAAGAGCCGCGTTGGCACGCTGCGCCACGCACTGACGTAGAAGTGGCGATGCACTGCCGATGACGTCACGGTTCGCTGCCACGATCATTTGATTAGTTACGATGAGTGAAATTTTAATTAGACATTATTTTCACTATTTTAGACTTCATTTTACCCATAAAGGTTTAAAGACCAGCCAGTTTCAACACCCAGTCTCTTTGTAGATTTGCTCAGGTATAAGAGATAGAAGATTGACATATCACTCCATGGGTGCCCACTGAAAATCAGTGCTGGGTAACCTGTATGCCTGGCTTATACTGAGTGGGTGACCCTTTTAGCATAGGCATGTTGTCAGCGTGTCCTTTCTAATTCTTCTGTTTAAATTTTTTTCAACTCTTATATTTTTATTACTTCCACTGTCACATCTTGATTGTCTTTTTTATTTTTTATTTATGCTGCATCGTGCCTGGTGCTAAATAATTGTTTTTTCTTTCTTTCTTTCTTTCTTTTCTTACATATTATGAAGTTTATAAATGTGTTAAAATTATATTTTTTTTATTTATTTATATTATTGCACACAGAAAAAAGTAAACATTGCAATAGTAATTTGAGTACAATGGGCGATCTTATCACAAGTGGCGATTTCTTCCAGACAACCTTTGGATGGAATTTTTGAAAAGAATCTGGGAATGGGTGGTAGATGCACAATAAAAGAAAACCAAAATAGAAGAAAAATAAAAAAAACAAATTAAACAATAAATAAAACTTACTAGACTACATATAAATACATACTAAAATGATATGAAAAATGGGCAATACTACCTATGAGGTATGTAAAAAATCTTTAGTAGTCAAATCTACAAATGGATAACTGTGTGAGAATGTTGTCATTTAAAATAGGTAACTTAATAGCACTGTTCCTATTGACTTCTTCAAAAGTTATGATATCCTGGTACGAGCTCAATTGATTCTTCGTATTAGATATCACTACCATTTTTAATATAAAACGTAATACTATAGTCCATGTGTTTAGGTAATTAACTAAAGGTAAACAAAGAAAACCACGTGACACAGAGATACTTAACCTACTATTACTTCAAATTTTCTCGTGTTTTAATTTTAACTAAATTCACTTTAAAATCGTTCATTTGTCATACACATACACACACATACAAGTACAAATGCCTAAATCGTACAAGAGCCTAGCCTATGGGTCTATTTCATTATCATGTTTAAATAGAAACTATTCTGAATCTGATGTACGGATTTCTTTCTTGTACGGATATCTGTCTTTGGGCCAAGTTTCTTCAATATATTTGAACACATTAACTCGTCGAGTACCGTATCTATAGACACAATTAAAGAACAATAGGTTGCGGTCACCGGTGACCGCTTGGTGTTTGACAGTTTAATTACAAACGATGATTAACCTAAACTTAAATAACTTAATAACAAAAACAAAACAAAGAAACAAGTTAAATTCAACAAAATAGGAACGCGAGCGCAAACGACGAGAGAGCTGTCAATGGCGCCTGATTAACCGACTAAACGTAATACACGCTACTTTCATTGTCGCGCTACATCTTCGTTGTACTCTTTAATTTGACAACATTATTTTGCTTCGTTCTTAAAGAAACGTTTTGGATACCTGGGATTTTAGGCTCTTTATGGTGTCTATTGTAATGAAATATTATATTATTTAATAAATGTTATAAAATTAATATCCTCAAGCAGATATATTTAATATTTATTAAGAAATAAGTGAAAAGGAACAGAAACATAACATTTAATAGAGAAAACTGTCGTAAAAAGGGAAACAATTTTATTTTCTTATGAAGTATTTTGAATCATGGAAATGTCAACTATAAAGAACTCTTTTTATGGTTTGTTTACAAATAGTTAACTACCTAAACAGACGGAGTATAGATACGTAATAATTGCACGGTTGGTGCGGTGGCTGGGCAACCGGCTGCCGTGCAACGTGTCACGGGTTCGATTCCTGCACGGAACAACACTTTGTGTGATCCACAAATTGTTGTTTCGGGTCTGGGTGTCATGTGTATGTGAACTTGTATGTTTGTAAACGCACCCATGACACAGGAGATAATCCTAGTGTGGGGCAACGGTTTAAAAAAAATGTTACACTATTTTAACAAAACAAAATTGATAATTCACGATTCACGGTACGGACCAGTATAAAATTGAAGTGCTTGATAGCGAAATGGTTCTGGCATGAAATATTTTTGCAGTGAACACCGTGCTACGTGTCGCATATTTAATTTGAAAGTCATTTCCAATAGTGTTTTCCGATCAGAATAAATATTCAATGCTAAAGTGCATTGGGAGGAAGCAGCCGTGCCATGTTATTTTGCTGTTCCAAGCATAGAATATTAAATACATAGGTCGTTTATTCCTTCTTTAAGTTTGTCTAAAACGTCATCATATGATGTCGCCACAGCTAGAACTTTAATATAATACACGCTTGCTTCTTGCATCGACCATTGTTTTTGTCTCTGCATCACCCAAAGGTCTGGCTGGAGGAGAATGCCCTAGGCATTAAGCCCACCTTGTACATTAGTATGTGCATGAATTCTTTTAAAATAAAATAAAAATAAAATAATACCCTATTGTTCATCATAATCTCCATGTTTGACAGGCATGTTTAAAAGGTTCCAGATTTATCTGCTTCTATCTGGTTATGGTTTCTATCAAATATGTAGTACCCACAAGAAGAGCAGAGCTAGTAATCATGTATTCTTATACCGTTACCACATACCACATTGTGCAGTTAACAACATCTTTAAGTGTGGGAAGCTTCGGCATGAATAAGCCGACTCGACCAGATGAGTGGCACCACGGCTTCTCAGAAAATCGACGTGAAACAACACTTGAGGTTGACAGAGGAACAATCACCTCAATCTACCCAATCTCCCGAATCGTACAATCCTCAAATTCCGAATCCGCAAAAGGCCGGTAACGCATTTGTAACACCTCTGATGATGCGGGAATCCAATTTAACATGGGCGGTACCAATTGCTTACCATCAGGTGATCCGTCTGATCGTTTACCGGTTTCTTCTATAAAAAAATCTTTAAACTCTTTTTTAACTGGCAAATAAGGAAAAATGTTCTTCTAACACACTTCACAACTAAATACGTTTAAAACTAAAACTGGCAACCCGAACTTGGACGCGAGTTTACTCAAACTTCGCTTCAAAAGGGAACGATTTACATAAATAATTAACCTGATGATTTTTCACTGTACATAATTACTTAGAACTTAGTAACTTGCTAACTTATAAAGGCAAAAACTTGAGATTATAAAGTACAATGTTCTGTACTTTATTGCTAAATTACTTAAATACATAAAGGATATTATGTTT